TCCTGAGTAACTCTAGTCTCCAGTCAGAGCTCTTGGGGTGGAGGGACCCATAGAGAACCTATGTATGTATAGAAACCATGAAAAGGCATCTGTATATACACTGCTAAGGCGTCGAAGGACAAGGAAGTGTAAGTAGTGGGTGATCTGATTTCAGGAATTTTACTTTTTGTCAAGTTATTTAAATGTTCGGTTATGTTAAGTGGACATAAACATTTGCTCAGGAAGTTTAAAATTGGTGGCGATACGGCTGACCGGATATGGCTGATCATTTGGGCAGTGGCAGAAGCAGGAGCCCAAGTTGGGAAAATTCTAGAAGCTGCTGCTTGCTGACCCTTCATTGAGCCAGAGGTCAGGAGAAGGGTGAGGCTCAGGCAGCCCTGGTGGTTGCTCAGTGGCTGTTCTTTTTTTTTTTTTAGATTTCATTTATTTATTTGACACAGAGAGACACAGCGAGAGAGGGAACACAAGCAGGGGGAGTGGGAGAGGGAGAGCAGGCTTCCCGCCGAGGAAGGAACCCGATGTGGGACTCGATCCCAGGACCCCGGGATCATGACCTGAGCTGAAGGCAGACGCTTAACGACTGAGCCACCCAGCTGCCCCTAGATGAAAACATTTTTTTTTAAAGATTTTTATTTATTTATTTATTTGACAGAGAGAGACACAGCGAGAGAGGGAACACAAGCAGAGGAAGTGAGAGAGGGAGAAGCAGGCTTCCCGCTGAGCAGGGAGCCTGATGCAGGGCTTGATCCCAGGACCCTGAGATTATGACCTGAGCCGAAGGCAGATGCTTAACGACTGAGCCACCCAGGCACCCCTGCTCAGTGGCTGTTCTTAAGAACTGGGGCTGGTCCTGGCTCCAGGCCTTGTGCCTCTCTGTTGCTGGACAAGTCACTGGTATTCTCTTTTTCTGCTTGTACCAATAATACATGCTTCCTATTAAAGAATTCAAGGAACATGTAAAATTATACGAAAGAAGGTAAAAGTCACATGAAGTCCTCTCACCTGAGGTAATCAACATTAACGTTTTAGCAAATATCTTTTTGAGGCACTGCTTCCCAGTAACACCTACAATATGCACACACACACACACACAGACGATTTTTACAATTTGCTTTTGTTTTGTTTTTTTGTTTTCCACCTCCCTTGTCTGTCTCTACCTCCACCACCAATAGTGAAAGTAAATAACTTTGTGTTCATCCTCCCAAAACTCTCTTCATGTAACATAAAAATGTATGCACGTGTCTGCGTAGAGGTTTCTTTTCTCATTCTTTGGTATTTCCAAATATGGGACAACTTCATGCACCTCTGTGCATCTTGCTTTTCCCATGTAACAACATGTTCTAGAAATTCCTCTCAGCTTCACTTGTGAAGATCTAGTACATTCTTTTTAAGACTTGTGTAATGTATTAGAGACTTTTAGAATGCATATTTATTCAATAATTCCCCAAATGGTGAGCAGTTACAGGGGTTTTTTTTTGTTTTGCTTTTGTAGCTACAAAGATTGCTGTAATAAACATTTTGTATCTTATATATTCCTATATAATGATGTTTGATTAGTCTCTGAGATTCCCAGAAGTGGGATTGTAAATTTAAAGATGTATGTATTTTTTAATTTTAATAAAACTGAAAGAATTTCTACACAGTCAGTAATATTTCATATTTTATTTGTCCGATAAATATTTATTAAGTCCTTACTCCTTGCCAGGCAATTTGGATTCAACAATGAGTAAGACAAAGATCCCAGACCTCACTGAGAGTTGATCCTAGAAATACAATGGGGAAGGAGAGATGAAAGAACAGTAATTATAATAAATACTTTTGTACCAAAAATGTATGAAAACATAATTCTCCCTTGCTTTACCATCAACAATTGGTATTATCATTCCTTTTATTTTTTTCCCAATCCTATTGATGTAATGTGATTATTTTATTATCTTAGTTTGCATTTCCCTATCAGTAAGTAATTTCAACATTTTTCACATGTTTATTTAGCTAGTGGGATTTGTGTTGGATAAACTGACATTTACAATCTTTACTCATTTTTCTATTGAGTGGGTTGTATGCTAGACCCATATTCTTGTTAATTTTCATGAGCTCTGTGTATATTATAAATACACATTTATCTGCGGTATGCCTTGCAAATCTTTTTCCCAATTTATTGCTCAGGTACTGACTTCATAATGGTTTCTTTTACCATATAATACCTTTCACGTTTATAAATTTGTCTTTTTGCTATCAATATGTCTTTTTGTCCTTTCAGCTTCTGGCTATTCTATTCTTGTTCATTGTTATCTCCAAACTCTGGGTCATATATATAGTCTCCTAAATTTTCTTTCAATTAAATTTTTTTAAATTTTTAATTTTTTTTTCAGTACACATGGAATTTATTTTTAATATGGTGTGAGGTAGGAGTCCAATTGTCTTTTCTTCTAAGTAGACAACCATTTTTCTAATACCATTTATTAAAATAAACCATCAGTTCTCCATTTAAGTAAAATGCTACCTTTTTCATATATGCAGTTCCAAATGCACTGGAATCTGTTCGCATGCTCATTATTCTGCTCCACTGATGATATGTCTATTCTTACTCCAATTTTATGCTGTTTTGATTATAGTCTTCTTTTTCATCATTTTAAAGCTAGATAAAACTTTATTTGGTCAGAAAAAACTTCAGATAAATTTTATCATATTAAAAATTGTAATTATTATTGAAAGTTCATTTAATTAACATTAGGAGCTAGAAAGAGGACATAAGAAAGAGAAGAGGTTAAAATAATTACAAGACAATACTACATAAAACTTTATGGCAACAAACTGGAAAATGTGGAGAAAATCAAATTTCTACTAATAAATCATATCAAAATGGTGCGAGGAGGAGAAAAAATGGGAACTGACAAATTCCTATAAAAGAAATTGGAAATTTACTTAAATATCTACTTTTTAAAAAGACCCCAAGAACAGATGACTTATTGGCCAAGTTCTAGTTAGCCTTTAAAGAACAGAGAGTCCAGGGTTATTAAACAATTCAAGGCCAAAAAAATAAAAAATAAAAAAAACAATTCAAGGCCATAGGAAAAAAGGTGGACAGCTCTCCTGTATGTTATGAAGCCAGCATCATCTTAGTGTTAACTCCTCATACACAGAACCCATTCGGGAATATTGATTCTCGTTTGAAATAAAATATTGGCAAATAGGATCCATCCATGTATCAAAAAGACTGATGAATTGTAACCAAACAGCTTTTATTTCAGAATGGAAGGAAGTTTCAGTAGCAGAAAATTTATCAACATAATTCATCACAGCAACAAATTAAATTATCATATGAAGAGATACTCAATAGGTACCCGATAAAATTCAGTATCAAGTCTTTTTTTTTCCCCCTCTAAAGATTTTATTTATTTATTTGAGGGGTGGGGAGAGTACAGAGCTAGAGTGAGAGGGAGAAGCAGATCATCTGCTGAGCAGAGAGCCCGACGTGACATGGGGCTCAGTATCAATTCTTAATAGAAACCCATGATCCCTTATGCAAAATTCTGATACTAAAAAATCTCTGAAAACTGAAATGTTTCACTTTGGCACCAAATTTCATTTGCTGTTAAGGTTTATCTGAACTGACATAAAGAAAGTACTTAAAAACAAAAAAAGTCCTGTTCTTTTACAAATATGAGGTATTGCATGCTCTGTACGCAAGGCGTACTCCAACAAAGTACTTATGGATTATTTGTTATTGTGGCTGTCTTATATTTAAAATTATTATAGTCTTCCTTTTCTTCAAGGTGAGTTTGAGGGGAGGTAATATGAAACATGTGCTTTCAACTTTCTGGAAGAAAAGTCCCACTGCGTTTCATTAAATCTAAGACACCGCTGTTTGGAAGGCTAGCATTTATTTTACATATCACTAACATAGGGGAAAAAGATGCTGCTAATTACTTTATGAACCATCATCAATTGTAAAACACATCATGGTTTCAGAGATACTGAAATGTGAAAAAAGGTACATCGTGGAATCAAAGAAATGCTGTGAACATATCCGAAAGCCGTCAGGAACTCTCCATCAACCGCACAGCCCTTCAGACAAGAGCAGGAACTGAATGTCTGCATCTTGGGGATGGGCCAGGTGTGAGGTGGAGTATGGTGGTGTGGGGTCAGCCAGGGCTCCAGAGTTGGCTCTTCAAAGGTTAAGTGACCGTGAACCAGCTATTGAACATGTCAAACCTCAGTCTGGGACAGTGATAACATCTACTTATGTTTACTTTAGAGTGAAAAGGATGACGGGAGACAGGGTTTGTGAAGTTCCTGGTCAAGAGTAAGCCCTTCCTAAATAACCACCCCTGGAATGGAGGTGGTGCTGACATTGTGGTGATGTTGGCTGTGGTCTCTAGCATCTTCCCCACTTCTGTCATTCTAGGATCCTTTACCCAAGAAAAATCTTGGCTATATTTCTCTCACCTCTAAGGAAGTTTCCCTGAGATTACTGAGAAGAGGCAGTTGGCCTCAGATGCCTGAACCATCACTGTGCCCTGAATTTATAGCCTCTCACCTGAAAATCTGAGTGGGGAAGAACCTCAGACATGTTCTTACATGGGCCGAGAGAGGAACGTGAACTTCCCATGTAATGCCTCCCGTGGCAAAGTGAAGACTAGAACCCAGACCACCAGACCGGTTGTCAGACTCTTTCTGGATGCCAGGCCTCCTGTCCCCAGGGCATAGGGGTCCACCCCACCAGTTTCTGGCAGTTTGCTCAGACCAGATGATCTCTGTGACCTAAACCTCGTCATTCCTCCTCTCTGGACCACTTCTTCCTGCTCTGGGGAAAAAAAGACGATGCGAGCTTAGCCTGCCAGACCCCCTACTGACTCCATGTTCTTATTTTGACCTTCATTGCCCCCCCACTTCCCTCCCTCCTCCCTTTCTTTCTAATTGGCCATCCGGAAGGGGTTGGGGGGAGTTCTTCTGTACTGAGAACCTAGTCACATCACTAATCTGCTGTGTGCTCTCTGCCAGGATGGGAGTGGTGAGCAGCAAAAAGCAGGTGAAGGAGAAGAGTAAGGGCCAGTGGAGTCCTATGAAGGTCAGCACCCAGAGCAAAGATCCCCCACCACTGCCACCCCTGGTGAGTGATGGCTGTTGCCAGATGGAGGGGGGTTGGGGGGAGAAGAGCAGAGAGCACATGCGGCTCTCTGGAGGCTGCTGTTGTTTCCAGCCAGCTCCAGGGCCATCTGTAACTAATTCAGGGCTCTGACAAATCGGCTCCTTGCTGCGGACACCAAACGTGGCACCACCTCATGTTGGTGTGGCAGTTTAGTAGAATGCTTAGCAGTCGGATTGCTGGTGTTTACATCGAACAGCTGTGTGCTTTGAAGCGGGTTACTTAACTCCCCTATGCCTCAGTTTCTGCATCTGCAAAATGGATATAGTGAAAGTGCCTTTCTGATAGGGCTATAACAATATGTGATGTATATACAACCATGCAATTCCGTACGTACTACCCTTAGCATAGGACTGGGCATGGGCAGTCCCCAATAATTCTTAACCAGTTCTCATTTCGCAAGTGCAGCCTTGAAGAGAAAAAGAAATCAAAAAGGTCAGCTTGAGAAGAGGGTGTGGTGGGAAATGGTCTGAGGCATTTAGCAACATCTGCTTCCCCCACCCCTACCCAGAAGCTCCTGGACATCAGTGCCCCCTTCAAGGCACCGCTGTCAGCATTCTAAGGAGCTTACTCTCCAGGGATGAGGAATCCTAAAACTATTCACACCTCCCCAGCAAACCCTCAGGTTCCTGTGGAGCCTGAGATGCAGTTCTGACTTGTTTACAGAGCACGTAGCACCCTTTCACTGAGGTTATTGCATTCCAAAGAGGCATTTTTAGATGATTGTTTGTGACCCTGGCCACCTCTCTTTGGGGCAGTTGAGTCATGCCTGGAACCCGCTCTCTTGCTTTCTACCTCCAGGGGCACATTCAGCTGGTCATCACTTTAGTCCAACAGTGACCTGATGGGTCGTGGGGATTGCTAATCCCATTTCTTAGACAAACGAGGCATTTTATCTGTGTCCCAATTTAGTTCAGGGCTTGGCACAGAACAATGAGATGTTTGTTGAATGAGTGAATGATGGCCGGGGTACACTCAGACTTAGACTTAGTAATTTCCCCAAAGTTACATGCTAGTAAGTTATAGAGCCTGGAATGTTTTTAACTTTATTTTGTTTTAAGATTATTTATTTATTTATTTGAGAGAGAGAGAGAGAGAGAGCACGAGCAGGGGCAAGGGGCAGAGGGAGAGGGAGAAGCAGACTCCCCGCTGAGCAGGGTGTCCAACGCTGGACTCGATCCCAGGACCCTGGGATCATGACCGGAGCCAAAGGCAGACGCTCAACTGACTGAGCCACCCAGGTGCCTCAATGTTTTTACTTTAAAAAAATTACATAATATACTATTATGGGAAAAATTATAAATACTCATTATCCCAATAGCCAGCGATACCCAGAGTTAGCACTTCAGAGCTCCTGCCCCCAGACCCTATTCTCGATGTTATTCTACATCAAAAACTAATGATGTAATGTATGGTGACTAACATAACGTAATAATTTTTAAAAATTGCCTATTCTTGATGTTATTTATATTATGTGTTTATATTTTCAATGGAGCCAGACTGTACATACAATTTGGCAAAATGCTACTTCAAAATTGTGCTCAATAAAGAGGGAAGACAAACAAAGAATATTCATAACACATCCATCAGATTAAAAGATAATGAAATGAACACCCAGCGCAGCCCCTCTGACCTTCAGGAGAAGTGACCATTGTCCCCCCCAAGTCCATCCCTCACCGCAGGTCCCTACCCTGAACGTGTTTATCATTCCTGAGCTTTGCTTTTTTGTATCATCACATGTGTACACTCTTAAAGACTGTTTACTTTAATTTTGCCCGTTATGAACTTTCAATCAATCGAATCAAACAGCATGTATCCTTCTGACGCTTGGTTGTCAGATCTCCGTTATGTCTGTGACCTTCATCAACACTGATGCACGTAGCTAGAGCTCAGGAACTCCCACAGTGGCGTACGTGGCATTTCCTGGCATGACTGTGCCCCAGTTTGCCTATTTTTCTGTCATTAGTCGTAAGGATGACTTCCACCCTTTACAATACTTATGTATTATTGTAATTTTTGCTGGGAGCATTCTCGTACATGTTTCTGGGTACACACATGCAAAAGTTTCTCTACAGGGTATATACCTAGGGATAGATTTGTTGAGTTTTAAGGAAATGTGCTTTTAAAATGATTTTCCCTAAGAACAAATACCCTTTTGCAGCTTCATCATTTAATGGTGGAGCCAGCATTTGAATCCAGGTGATCTGATTTTCCAACCCCCCCCGATTCCATAGCTGCCTCTTACATCGCTGGGGCACCCCCACACCCCCCTCCTCTGACCCCGTATATGGTCCAGGGGTCGTGTGAGATGACATTGATCCCTGAGGAGTTGTGACACCACGTGTACAATTTACCTGTGCAACCTCCTGTTGACAGAGCCGCTCCCTACAAGGCACTCAGCTGACAGGTGCAACAGGTTCCCTGCCCAGCAACGCTGAACTAATGCAGCGTGTGTGTGTGTGCGTGTGCATGTGCGTGTGTGCGTGTGCATGTGCGTGTGTGCGTGCATGTGCGTGTGTGTGTGCATGTGCTTGTGTGTATGTGTGTGTTTCTGCTGCAGGTCCTATTTAACCACCTGGCTCCTGCACCTCCGGACACGTGCCTGGACCAAGGTAAGAAGGGGCTGCTTTTGAAGCTGAGGCTCTACAGGGCATCTGCTCTGGGCCCGGGCTGCGTGCAGGCAGAATAGGGGCCCAGTTGGGAGGAGCTTCCTGGAGAGGACAGGGCAGCCCCTTTAGGGTCAGAGAGGAAGAGGCTGTGGGGGCAGGGGGCTGAACCAGGCACAGTGCGGGGTGTGGCCCAGCTCTGCCCAGGCTTCACCTGCCCCTGCCCATGGGGGCCCCTCCAGGAACCAAGCCCCAGTTCCTGTATCTGAGCCTGGGTGGCTTTCTGGGTTTTGTTTTTCAGAAAAAGGACCTTACAAACTGTAAATGAGACAAAAAGAAAAATATTACAGTAAATACAAACAGCATAAAAACAAACCCAAGTTTTCAAAGATTCTAACTCCCAACCTCAAAGGGCGAGGGCCGATGGGTCTGCATCTTCCCTCCTGCCCTGAGTCTGTTCCGTGTATGGAAGCACCATCTTTCTGCCCACTTCCCCACTTTCAAAAGCTGCCACTGACCTTCTGACTACTCAGGACACCCTCCCTCACCCCCAGTCTCTACTGCCACTCTGGTGGGTAGGACAGTGGGGGATCGCATAATGAGTGATCCTGGCCCTCCTGGGTCAGGGCTTTGGACCTTGGGGTGGGGGGGGTGCTCACAGGATGATAGCTTCCTTCAGAACTGGCTTGCAGGAGCACCAGGAGCTCTGCCAGAGCCTGCGTCCCTCATTCCCCCACCCAGCAAGCACTGAGCAAACAGTACCCAGAGCCAAATACTGGGGAGGCTGCAAAATTGAATAAGACGTGGCTCTTCAACCTGAAAGAGCTCAGAGTCTGTCAAACACCCTAGCAAGATGCTGAAACCAGATGAGCTATCTTACCTGGTGTTTCTCATCCTGCTGGGGATGTGGTTAATTACCACAGGGCTTGTCCATCACTTCCTACAAGGGGGATTCACGGCCCCAGCAAGGAAGCCCTGGGGAAAACAATAAACTAACTGCCTTTGGTGCAATAACTTCAGTCTCAGAACTGGAGGGGGGGGCTGTCATCTATTCCAATCCCCCTTCCCCCCCATGGGGAGGTGACTAGCCATCACACCACACATAGGTGACAAAGCTGAGTCATCTACTCCCAGGTAAGCTGGGTGGTCTCCAAGTGACTTTTCCAATGGCTCTTGGCTCCCCAGAGCTGTTCAGAAAGGCCTTCCTCACTGGCCGTGGCCGTCCAGATGTCTGCTCCCAGGACTAGCAGCAAGTCAGGGGTAGCGCCCGCCAGGCGCACTGTGACAGGGCCTTGGGCACGGTTACAGGTCAAGGTTACGGCGGCCACGTTCCAAGACCACTAGCCCCTTTGGAATAGATGTGAAGGGGCAGCTGGGGAAGGGGAAGAGAAGGGAAGCTCATGTGCCTTCGAGGCAATAAGGAATCAGCCAACACTCGTTCCCAAACTTGGGAGGGCAGCCATCAGCCCAAAGCAGCCAATCTCCCTAGATCTTCGGGCTAGCCACTCCTGGAGAGCGTGGTGCTGGCCAGGCCTTAGAGCTTCGATGTGGAGACCAGAGGGGAAGACAGGATGGGCTTTGTGGGGCAGCCCATCCTTGTTCCCGGCAGCAAGGTCAGGAAGTCCCTCTGCTAGACAGGAGTGTCTTCTGCTGCATCGGCGAGCAAGAAAGCACACCACAGCTTCCCCTCTGTCCCTGCGTCCTCCTGACCTCATGGCAACCAGAGATGGCCCACAGCACAGACTTATCCAGCCCCTGCCCTCACTCTGCTGGGCCTGAGCAGTGCCCATCTCTTTCTTGTTCGCTCTAGAGGAGCATTTCGTGGTGGCCCTGTACGACTACAGCTCGGTGAATGACAGGGACCTGCAGATGCTGAAGGGGGAGAAGCTGCAGATACTGAAGGAGTAAGTTTCTGGAATGCGGCTCTGTGGTCAGAGGCCTCTGTGGCTCCCTATCACAGCAGCATGGCCACCCAGCCATCCAACTCCTCACCTCACCCTACCCCCACCCTCCATGAGTATCTCCTCCATCACTCCACCCCCAGCCCAGTCACTGCCATTTCTTCTTACCTTGACCCAGTCGTCTTCCTTCTATCTACCATTCCAAAGTCTTTCTCACAAGGTGGTTCCCATTCATTATCTCCTGCCCCACTGTCAAAATCCTACTCCTCCTTCAAAACCCACCTTGAACGTCACCTCCTCCATGAAGCCCTCTTGATGGGGACAGCACGTGCCTGGCGGCCCCGCCACATCTTTGTGCATCCCCTTTGCCAGACCAGACCTCGCACAGGATTCTACTCGTGAAATCAACTTTACTTGATTTCCAGTGCTCCCTCTCAGAAACTCCTTCAAAGTCTGCTCTCTCTCAAACATCCGGCTTGTTCTGTGGAGCCCTGAGGTTCTGCTTTTGTTCTTGAAGTTCTGTGATGACCTTGAGCCAAAAGCATGAAAACCCTGACCTTCTGGACATACGTGGGCTGCCCGGCTCCTCCTTTGAGCAACAGCTCTCCTCCTGTCCGGTACCAACTCACTCACTGAACTCTTGATCTGTCCCATTAATCAAGAGGAAGGCTACTCACAGAAGACAGGGGCCCTCTGGGGTGGTCAGGCTGTCTGGACAAACTCTTCCCCTGGAGGCTGCATCATCCCCTTCCTACCTAGACCAGGGGCAGCTTGGGCTGTGAGATGCTCAGCAAGTTAGCACCCCCCTTACTGAGCAACTCGTACACGTGCCCTCTCATCTGCCCTCCGTGACTGCTCTGCCTCAGGGATGCGATCGAGTGGGGGGAGGGCTGTGAGCGGCCCCCCGAGAGAGGCCCACAGGAGCCACTCTGCCATTTTGGTTTTCCCTCCTCCTCCGTAGAGTTGGAGACTGGTGGTTGGCCAGGTCTCTCATCACTGGAAGAGAAGGCTACGTGCCCAGCAACTTTGTGGCCCGAGTGGAGACCTTGGAAGTGGAAAAGTAGGTGGACACACGGAAGGCCCTTCAAAGCAGAGGCACTCTTGCTGCTTCTGCTCGGGGGTCTGCTGGGCAGGGAGGGGTCAGAAGGCTGAAAGCTGAGCCTCTGTGAGCCCAGCGTGGAAGGAACAGGAAAGGGGCACCAACTGGAACTGCGGGGGTGGGCTTATCCACCGTCCCAGACGACCTGGTGCTCAGGGAGCCACCCCTCCGTCCTCACTTCACTCTTCCCGTCTGTGAAATGGAGCTGCCCCTCCCCTGGCTCACTTGGAGGGAAACGTCCCTCCTGGCCCATGGCCTTGCAAGCTAACATCGAGGCCTGGTGATCAGCTCCCTCTCCTCCCATGCCTCCAGTGGGCAGGCCTCAGGGGCGCAGACCTCAGGGGGACTCACAGCATGGTGGCTTCATCCAGAATTGGCCTCCAGAGAGCACTACTCCCCAGCATCCTCATAACCCACTTCCACACAGCACCAGTCACTTATTCCCTCCCACAGCACACGCTGAGCAAACAGAACCCAGACTCTGACTCTGTCCTCATACTGAGAAAGCTGTAAGAATGAGTAGGATGTGGCTTTTCCCCTGAAAGAGCTCAGAGTCTACCAAACTCATGAGCAAAGTGCTGGAACCGGGGTAGTGGCCTCACCTGGTATCCCCCAGCGATGGTCGCCCTTGGAAGGGTTCTCTGTCTGGCACTCCCAGCCCTGTGCCTCTCCCTGGAACAGCATGTGGGGCCATGGGTTCTTACTTCCACACTGACTGGTCCATGTTTGAGAGGAACATGGCGGGAATCTGTGCTCTGAGAGTCACAGTACTTTGTGGAATTCAGACTCCACCTCAAGGAGGGGGGTGCTCTGAGAGAAAGTGGGTGCCTTTTCCCAGGGTAGAATTAACAAAGGGCACCCCAAAAATGTTCTCGGTTCAAGAAAGCAGTAAGTCCATCTGCTGATGGGAAGTGAAAAGAAAAGGGGGCCCAGGGGCCAAAGGGCATTTCATGAATCAAGGTATGAGGAGTGTTGTTAGTTCAGGGTTAACCTGAAAACAGGAAAACGCTATTTTATTTTTTGAGGGGGGCATACAGCTTAGAAGGGAGGTACAGATAAGAATATTCCGAGAAGCATGGCCAGCCTCTGAGGTTTGCCTGCCTTTGCCCTTTTCCAGATGGTTCTTTAGATCAATTAGCCGGAAAGATGCTGAGAGGCAGCTTCTGGCTCCAATCAATAAGGCGGGCTCCTTTCTTATCAGAGAGAGTGAAACCAACAAAGGTAAGCATGGCCCCCAGCACACCCTTCCTGCGCAGGCCCCAAGAAGCCCCCCGAGACTGCTTCTGGGAGGGGAATGCCAGCCAGGGGAACCCTGGTGGCTTCCGGGTCTCCTGTCTCCCTCTCAATTCAGGACCTGCCTGGACAGCCCGTCTAGTGCCCAGTAGCTGAGTATGAGGCTCAGTGAGCTGAGTATGAGGTCTCCACTGGCCAGGTTGGAAATGTACAGGGCGCAGGGAGGAGAGGCGGTTGGAGGGCTGCTCCCGCCCAGGCCACTGTGCATCACCTCTGGATCAACGGGGACACTGAGGCTGGCGGGGTCGGAAGAGGGGGCGCGACCCAGAGCCACATTTTGGAATCAAAGGATTTGGGAGCCAATAGACTCCTTAGAGATCATCTCAGCCAGAGGCAAATTACAGGAGCCTGGAAGGTGACAGAAGTTTGGAGAATGGCCCATAGCTGGATATGAAAGAAGGGGGGTGGCCGTTGTGGAGAACTGGGAGCACTCATGGATTCAAACCCTCTGACTGAGCAAAACATTTCTGCCGCCGCCGCCCGCAGGCCACCGGGCTTTCTCTTTCTCTTTCATTTGATTTTCTCTCCTTCTTTCCTTCTTAAAGTTCCTTTGTTTTGACATATAAAACTTATAAAAGCTGCATAAATTATAAGTGAGGGTATAATCATAGAGTCATAATAGGTAAACACCTGTGCAGCCACAAGAGAACGAACATTCCAGGGCGCCTGGGTGGCTCAGTTGGTTAAGCAACTGCCTTCGGCTCAGGTCATGATCCTGGAGTCCTGGGATCAAGTCCCGCATCGGGCTCCCTGCTCAGCAGGGAGTCTGCTTCTCCCTCTGACCCTCCCCCCTCTCATGTGCTCTCTCTCATTCTCTCTCACTCTCAAATAAATAAATAAAATCTTAAAAAAAAAAAAAAAGAGAGCGAACATTCCAGACGTCCACAGCCCCTCTCACTGCTCACTTGTGCCCCTCTCTGACTCAACCTACCCACCCCCCAGAGAGGTCACCACTATCTCAACATTTAGGGAAATCCTCTTTTCTTTTTTTTTTCTTTGTTTTAAAAATTTTATTTATTTATTTGAGAGCGAGAGAGACAGCAAGAGAGGGAACACAAGCAGGAGGAGTGGCAGAGGGAGAAGCAAACTCCCCGCTGAGCAGGGAGCCCGATGCGGGACTTGATCCCAGGATTCTGGGATCATGATCTGAGCCAAAGGCAGACGCTTAACCGACTGAGCCACCCAGGCACCCCAACTTTTAGGGAAATCCTTCCTTGCCACCCATGTTTTATATATTCTTTTTTTTTTTTTTTAAAGATTTTATTTATTTGACAGAGACACAGCGAGAGAGGGAATACAAGTAGGGGGAATGGGAGAGGGAGAAACAGGCTTCCCACGGAGCAAGGAGCCCAATGCGGGGCTCGATCCCAGGACCCTGGGATCATGACCTGAGCCGAAGGCAGACGCTTAACAACTGAGCCACCCAGGCGCCCCTGTTTTATATATTCTTTAGCTTTATGCAAGTGGAATCATACCATTTTTATTTTTGTATGTCTTGTCCCTCCCACTCGACATTGTTTGTGACATTCTATATTAATCTGGTAGACCTGCTGTAATAAAGTACCAGAAACTGGGGGTCTTCACAGAAATGTACTGTGTCACGGTGCTGGAGGCTGGCAGTCCAAGACTGAGGTGGCGGCAGGGTTGGTTTCTTCTGAGGCTTCTCTCCTTGGCTTGCAGGTGGCCGCCTCCTCCCTGTGTCCTCACCTGGTCTGTCCTCAGTCTGCGTCCTAATCTCCTCTTCTAACAAGGACACCAGTCATATTGGATTAGGCCCCCCCGCCCCCGATGACTTCAGTAGTTACCTCTTTAAAGCTCTCATCTCCAAATAGAGTCAGATTCTGAGGTACTGGAGGTGAGGACTCCAACACAGGAATTTGGGAAGGACACAGTCCAGCCCGTAACAGGTCCCCTCATGTTGTGGGGGAGGACAGTAGTCCATTACTTTCACTGCTGTACAGAACCCAGCATATGAATATTCTGTAAGCTGTTTCTCCTTTCTAATGTTGGGAGACATGGGCTATTTCCAGCTTGGGGCTGTTATGAACATGCTGCTCTAAACCTTATTATATATGGTACATATTTGCCATCTTTGGGATGCTGAGCCAATATCCCCATTTGAAAGGTGAGGAAACTGAGTCCCTAAGGGAGGAAGTGACTCCCGTGAGGCCAACAGTGAACAGGGGTCGGAGGGTCAGAGCCCACATCATCTAAGAGGCTGCACAAGCTCTACCGTGTGTCCAGCTAGTGTGTCGTGGGCTGGTGGAAGGGAATTTCCCAAGCAATGTGAAGAAAGCCTTTGTTCAACAGGACATGGCCCATAAAGACTTCTTACATCCTGTGGCCAATTTTTAACTGGAGAGGAGGTGGCGACCATGACATCAGAGGAGGAAGGGCAGAGACGGTGGCTGGGCTGCAAGTTGGTTCCCTGTGGTTGGGGCAATGAGAGGAGACAGAGGTTCTGCTTAGTGGGAGCCCCCCGCCGGCCTTGTCCCTCAGCTCCATCACGGCTTGAGAACTGCAGTGAGTAGAAGCACTAGAACAGCAAAAGTGGGACAAAGAGAGCTGCTCATTACACCCTGGGAGGCTCAGGGGAGATCCCGACGCCTCCCTGCCCTTCAAAGGGTCAGGGTCAGGGTCAGGTAGAGGAGTAGGAGGGGTGCATTGGGAAGTTGGGTGCTCTGTACAGAATTTCTGGAAATGCACCAGTGGATGAATTAAATCTATCTATCTATCTATCTATCTATGTATATATATATATACACATATATATATATGTATATGGATATTGGTATATATATGTATATGGATATATATATATATATGGATATTGCCATATTGCTACTATTCCATTTTAACGGCAAAGCACCTATGACCAAGAAATGATATGGGAATCACTGGAGGTGACGTACTTGTTTTGTTTTTATAGAATATTTCAAACATGTACAGAAGTAGAGAGAATAGTATCATGGAACCCCTTGTACCCAACACTCCGCTTTGACGATGATCGCTCAGCCAATCTTGTTTCCTGTGTATCCCCACCCCTACTATGTTGACGCAAGTCCCAGAATCATGTGATTTCCCCCTGCACATAATGTCTTAGTCATTGTCTATTGCTAAGGTGCCCTCTGGAGAGAAAGGGACCCCCAACCTGAGGATGGAGGAAGGGGTTCTCTAAAGGTGGGGCTACCCCTCCTGTCCTTGCCCACCCTGGGGAAGCTAGTCCACGCTGGAAATTGGCCAGGTGGAGCCAGGGCTGCAGGACTGCTCCAGCATCACCAAGCCCACACACATGTATACACACATAGACACCTATGCACACGTGCTCCTCACAACTCCGAAGCAAGTGCCCTCCATCCGCATCTGCAAACCACAGCCAGCAGATGTAAGGCAGGGAAGGAACGCTGCCCTCAGAAGCAGGGGAAATGAATTCTCACCCCGTGTTGCCTCCAGGACGTCACTTAGCCTCTCAAGCCTCCCTTTATTGGTATCTGTGTGAGAACCAATTAGTTTCCCAGTCCTAAAGCAGACAGTTCTGCGGGTTTTAAATCTCAATCTCTGGGAGCCCTGAACCTGCAGCTGATAGGATTTGGAGGTCTCCTTTAAGAAGAATATTAAACTGTGAAAAGAAATGGGGGACAGGCCCTTGGATGAGCCCCTGCAAGCGGGAGGCCCTAAATCATGAGCTCCCGTAGCAGCATCGTGGGGAGGAGAGGAGGGTCTCCCAGGCTTCTTATGATGCCTCCTACACAGGGTACAGTTGGAAAACAAAAAAAAAGGAGGGGAGGGGGAAGAAAGGCCGTCTTCCTCACTACCGGGGTGGTGTGAGGTTGAATGAACCCACTAAAGCCACTCTCCGGTTTCTAGATACTGGGACACGGTTGCGCTTAACCGGGGCGAGGTGGGGGAGACAGTTTGCAGCGTGCAGGGTGGAGCTGGGGTCGCGGGCGTGGGATGGGCCTAGCGACGGCAAGGTGCACACACTTCTTGCATCGTTTTGCAAGTAGGTGATGAGAGGCACAATAGCTAAGGGAGATGAGAGGGAAAGGTGGTTTGCGATGGAGACAAACGGCACCTCGGAAAAACCAGGCGTGGGCACCCAGATGAAGAGGCGTCCGAGCCTGACACCTAGCGGGGGAGCGTGGTATTATCGCTTACCGCAAATGCGTCCTCAGGGCCTGCCGCTAACCAGCCGGGTGACCCAGAGCAAGGGCCGTTCACCTTCCTGGCCTCAGTTTCCTCATCTTCTAATTAAGAGTGGCGGGCGTGGTACGCAGAGATCTGGACAGAGGCATTTTATAAAAACATCAAATTTGTGGAAAGACTTTTCTCCGGTGGAAACTCTTGCCTCCTAAATTGCTCTTAACCTTTAGCTTCTGCTACCTACACCTTGTCTGCAGGCAGACAGTGATATACATGACAAGGTGCGTAGATGTGTATGAATTTGGGAAATAAGTTATTCTGTTCTCCTCCATGGACATGAGTGCTTAAATTTGGGATTTGCTATTCTTGTGGGGGCAGGGCAGCCTTTTCAGTTAGAATGAATGGGTGAATGAATCCATGAATCAATCAATCCTCTAGTTCCTCCAATAACTCTACATTTCTCAATAGTCCATGGCAAAGGGGGTCCCCGAATGACCAGGTCCCCAAGTGGGGGACAGCATGTTTGCTACGAGAACATCCTGCCCCTGCTCCAGAGTTCCGGGATTCCCTGGCTGAACTTTGGGAGAAACATCAAGGTCTGAGTTGGGTGGAGAGGAATAGGGAAGGCTTTCTGGAGGGTTGAGGTTGAGATGAAAGAGAGGTAACTTATGGTGGAAAGGGTCAAAATGGGGAGCAGAATTTGGGGAGGCTTTGAAATGAAGCCCAAATCCCAATCCTGATTTTCCCTTTGTACACCTTGTGTTTTTATTACTCCTGTAGGTGCCTTTTCCTTGACTGTGAAGGATGTGACCACCCAGGGGGAGATGATCAAACACTACAAGATCCGCTCCCTGGATGAAGGGGGCTATTACATCTCCCCCCGCATCACCTTCCCTACTCTCCAGGCTTTGGTGCAACATTATTCTCGTAAGAGCGGAGGATGTGTTGGGGGGTGGGGGGGGGGGGAGGAGCCCTTGGATCTATCACTAAGACCTCAAGATCATGTGACTCACCGGTGCCATCTTGTGGGGGGATTATCCCAAGGCTGGGCAAATATCAACATAATGATTCAAAGTTTATGTTTTTAGTCCCTTCTACTGGCTCACTCAGCATGTGACCACTTGGAGAATAACAAGGATTTTCAGTCTTAGAGAGAGCAGGTCAATGGACAGCATGCCTTGCTTTATACAAAATGAATACAAATGGCAGAGAGTGTGTGTGGTATATGTGTACCCGGGCATACGTGTACTTGGACATGGGAGTGTGGTCGGCAAAAACGAGAAGGGGACACCGCTGGGAAGGATATGGTTCCCAAGGGAGAGCTGTGATCCGGTTGCTCTGGTAATCTCCAGCCCCAACTCTTCTTCCCTAATGCAGAGAAAGGGGATGGTTTATGCCAGAGGCTGACCCACCCTTGTGTGAGCCTGGTTCCTCAAAACCCCTGGGCCCAGGATGAATGGGAAATCCCCCGGCAGTCTCTCAAGCTGGTCAGGAAACTCGGGTCTGGGCAGTTTGGCGAAGTCTGGATGGGTGAGTACATGGCGGCCAGGAGCCTTTCTCTCCCTGCCCTGCGTCCTGAAGCACAGAAGGCTCGGGATATGCACAGTGCGTTGTGCTTCCCTGGAGAGCTTATTCGGGAGAAGGGCCAGAGGCGATGGTACCCATTTTAACCAACTGAGCCACCCAGGCGCCCTGATGGTACCCATTTTACAGATGAGGTAATGAAGGCAAGCCTAGAACATTGAAGTGACTTGCCCTCACTTGTTAGGACACCACGGTGGTGCAGTAGGAGTAGACTCCAGCTCTCCCAACACCTTAGTTGGTTCCCTCCCTCACTCTTCACCACCCAGGGCTAGCCTGCCATGGACTGGTGTGTGAACTTGAACATCTGGCTAACTCCTCTTAGCTTTGGTTTGCCAGATGAAATGACCTGTTAAACATGGTCAGCAGTGACCCGGGAGCTCTAGGACTCTAATAATAGACCAAGCCCCTGCTTGTAGAGGGGTGACTAGCCAAGTCATTTAACTCCCAGGTCCCTGTATGTGTAGCTGACGACCACTCTCCTGCTCACCAAGGGCACTATCAGACTATAAAAGGCAGTGCTCTATTTTATCCCTGGAATGGTCCAAATCTCTGGGGCATGATATCAAGGCCGGATCCTGCTGCATCCCCAAACCCTCCAGCACCCGGGACTGATGCCCGAAGCACCTGTAGCAGGAGCCCTGCGTAGGTCCTTGCGAAGCTCCCCTGAGAAGGGCGAGTCCAATTATGATTTATCTTTTACCTTTCATGTGGGTGGGGGACTTGATGGAGGGAGGGGAGAATGTGGAGGTACAGTGGGAAAGGAGCATTGCAGGGCACAGAAAGGAGGGAAGGAGGTCTGCAAGCCACCTCTGCCTCCAAGTGTTGCCACGGGCTGGGATGCTCATTTCCAGACTGAAGCTATCATGTGGTAGAAAAGACTCATGTCAGGAAAGGGGGCAGGCTATAGAGAGGACAGAAGGGACACAACATAGACCCGGTGCAGGGGTGAGGAGGTAAAATGGCCCCCCTCCAGGCAAGGAAGTTCCTCAACTTCCTGAGGCTCCAGACGAGCACAGGGGGCTGAGACAGGCTGGCATCCTGCAAGGGAGGCCAGCTCATCTGTTACCTGCAGGAGCTGTACATTTGAGCCCAGAGCTCCTTCTTGGGGGCGCGGGGGCCAGCTCTGGCCTCAGTCCTCCACCTATAGAATAAGGATGGCTTCTGCAAGCTGATGTACACTGTAGTGAAGAGATCACCTTCCGCAGCGTCTGGGTCTTCTGAATGGCTTCTGTATTCTCTCCCCGACCCGGGCTCAGGTTATTACAAGAACAACGTGAAAGTGGCCATCAAGACCTTAAAGGAGGGAACCATGTCTCCGGAGGCCTTCCTGGCAGAGGCCAACCTGATGAAAACTCTCCAGCATGAGAGGCTCGTTCGTCTCTATGCCGTGGTCACCAAGGAACCCATTTACATCGTGACAGAGTACATGGCCAGAGGTGGTGCCCTGTGTGGGGTTGCATCGTCAGACAGGGGCAGGGAGGGGCGGGGTCCAGGCTTGGGGGGCCCAGAAGACTGAGGCTGATCTGCTGCAGTGGGTCTGCCGGTCAGGGGACCTCCATGGGGGAATCACTGGGCCATGGGCTGCATCAATTAGCCAACGTCTTATAGATCTAAGGTATTCCACGTGCTGGGGGGCAGGCAGGAAGGATGGTGAGAAACAAGATGGGTCCATGGTTCTTACAGAGCTGTGTCCCCCATTCAGACACACTTCAGGCAACGTTTTTGGAGGGCATCTCCTGTGCCCAGAACTGTTGGATGCCCACTAGGGAGGGCAGAGCATTGCCAAGAGTGGTCGACTGGGCGTCCAGAGATGGGTTCTGGTCCCAGTTCTGCCACTCACTAGCCGTGGACCTCTGACAACCATAACTGACAGCATGGGTGAAAAGAGAGGTCAGGGGCGCCTGGGTGGCTCAGTCGTTAAGCGTCTGCCTTCGGCTCAGGTCATGATCCCAGGGTCCTGGGATCGAGTCCCACATCGGGCTTCCCGCTCTGTGGGAAGCCTGCTTCTCCCTCTCCCACTCCCCCTGCTTGTGTTCCTGCTCTTGCTATGTCTCTCTCTGTTAAATAAATAAAATCTTTAAAAAAAAAAAAAAAGAAAAGAAAAGAGAGGTCAGGCCAGCTGGCTGTGGAGGTCCACGGGGGCGGGGGAGGAGGGGCAAGGTCTCATGGGGCAGTGGGCCGGAAGTCAGCCTGTGACCTCCTTCCCACCCCCCCGTGACTCTGATTGCCCACTCCTTCCTGTAGGATCCTAACCTGCCATGTTAACCTAGCTCCTTAGAAATCATCTTGAAGGGGCCCCCCATTGAGCTGGGAGCACAGTAGCTCCCCTACTCACCTCAGCCCCACCTCAGGTGACCATCCCTCCCAGCCCTTAGATGCCATGGTGGAGCTGCATTTGTCCCCGGCACCAAACCCCAGGAGGCAGATCTCTCCATTCTGGCATTTTCTTGCACCCTTGGTCCTCAGAGGCAGAATCTCTGCCAACAAAGGGTGAAGGGGACAAGAAGACCCTTTGGAACGTCATGCCAGGAATAGGCACTAAACTTATGGTCAGAAGAGCAGGGTCTGCTCCTGGCTCCCTGGCTGGGTGGCTCTGAACGTGGCTGGAACAGACCTTCCTCTGAGCAGCTGGGAGCACAGTACCTGCCTCCTGGGATGCTCGGACGCCCGAGACTAGAATTTCTGTAAAGCAGAAAGCGCTCTGCAGCTGTGGGGAGTTTTAGTCTCTGTGTGCAAGAGATCTGACAGGGTGCCCCATGCTTCCTGACGCCAGGTGGGGAGCGGCCCCCACTTGGGAGAGACGGGCACAGCCAGGCTTGGATCATTTTGCAGAAGAGCAGATGCAACTTCTCTTTCCTTAGGATGCTTACTGGATTTCCTGAAGACGGATGAAGGTAGCAGATTGTCCCTCCCCAGACTGATCGACATGTCAGCCCAGGTTTGTGAGCTATCAAGTACGGCGGAGCCCCAGAGTAATGACCCCAGGGGCCCTCTCCTCTGTGCCCTGTGGCTTCACGAAATTGGCTATTCAGAGGTTGTATCCATTCAGTTTAGGTTGGGCTGGGAAGGACAGAAACCCCAAAGTAATAATGGTTTAAATTTGTAAACATCCAGAGGTGGTCTGTGTGGGGGCAGGTAGGTGGGTCTTTCCCTCAAAGACACAGGGACCCACATTTCTTGCACCTGCTGGGCACTTAGCATGTCATCTTCTTGCCCAAGATGTCTGCTCACACTTTACCATCTTGTCCTCTTCTCAACTGGCAGGAAGAAATAAGAGAGAAGAAAGCCCACCTTCTTCCCTCTAGAGACATGTCACTGAAGTCACCTACTATCCTTGCTTTAACATTTCTCCCCCCCCCCGCCCCCCCAACCATGTCACCTGGCCAAACCTAGCCCACAAGGGAGGTTAGGAAATGTAGTCTTTATTCTGGGCCGTCGGGATGGAATGAGGTGAGTCCTAGTACTCAGGAAGAGAGGGAGAACGGACGGTGTGGGAAACCCAGAGAGTTCACTTGAATTCCATGCAACAGTGTAGACAGGTGTTCTGTTGTGACCACCTTTCTGCCTCAGATTGTGCCCAGAAATGCCTTCTCTAGCAGGTGAATCGCAATCCAGACTTCATGAGGTGAAGAGCGAAATGGAGAGGGGGGATCGTTCCTCCCCGGGGATGTTAGCTGAGGGTTCTAACTGGCAGGAAAACACATCTGGTGGCCCTGAGTGTGTGTGTCTGTTAGGACTGGGACTCTCAGCAGAAAAGCTCTGGTCTGTGGTCAGCCGGTGAGGCAGAGAAAGGCACACACATCCGCCTGCGGAGAGGAAACCTCCCCCTCAGCCCACACCACCCCATCCCCACCTTGGCTGGTATTATCTGTCATTAGTATCCGTGCAGGAACTGATGTCACGATGCCCTTTTTCCACTGAGGTAAGTGCATATGGGTTTGAGCAGGCTGCTGAGTGGTCTCGGAAAATTAACGCTGGTAACCAGTTTCAAACCACGTAACGGTGATAAGCGTGTCCACCCCTTCTTTCTTTCTTTCTTTGCCTTTTCTCACTCTCCTCTGTTTCTTTCTGCATCCCTGGGGAAATCGGGTCCCCCAGGGGCAAAGGATGTGAAAAGCCACCGGCATTTACACCTAGACGTAGCCAAGAATCTAAGGGTTAGGAAACCAGAAAATCAGAACCTTCCAAGTGAACAGCTTCTAAACCACATTCTAATCATGCGAGGGTCTCACCATGCACACGTGTGGACACACACGCAGTACCCTTCTGGGCGCTCCCTTTCCTGCTTTGCAGGATGAGATGCAAATCTCCCCTACAACCATAACCCGTGTGCCCTACTTTGCAGCCCCACAGCAGCCCCCAAATGTCTTGTCACACCCGTGAGCCCTCGCTCAGGCTGCCCTCTCCGTCCAGAACGCCTGGGCAAAATCCTGGCATTTCATCCGGCAAAATCCTCATCAACCTTCAAGACCCAAGATAAATTCAATTCAAATTTCCCTGGATGGGAAAGTGGCAGAGAGCACTTAGTACACGAGTTTCTGTTAGAATTGTGCGTGGTGTAGTCCTCTTGAAAGCACGTCGGAGTCCCTCGCAACTTTTCTTTTTTTCTTTTTGGTGGTATTTCTAGAACTGCTCAGTACATATTTGTTAATGGGAGGAGTACTAGTAAATGCTATCCAGATCCAAGATATTTGGTATTCAGCTTTCTGGTCCCCACAGTAGCATACCAATAAATGTATATTGTTGCAATGATTTAGCAAAGGAATAACTAAATGACTAAGTGAATGGACTCATGAATAAACCAGTGCAGATGGACACATACGGAGAAGTGGGATGAATTTCAGTGCTGCCCTTTTGCCATTGCTGGTCTGAGGAGGTACATTAGCATTCTATTCTCTGCCTCGATTTCTGCATCCATCAACCGGGAGTGCCGTGAATAAAGCCCGGTGCTGGCGATCAGACAGAAACAGAAACGGCCTCTGGGCCACAGGGATTCTGCGCCTGCCCTCTGAGTGCCTGCCTTAGGCAGCGCTGGGTCAGGCCCTTGGCCTCCCATGTGGTATAACGCCCACTTCAACTCCGCACCCTGGAGACCCCTTTCTTCATGTTGCAGGTCAGGACAGGGACCCCTTCGGGAGCTTAAGCAGCTCCAATCCAAGGCTCCCTGCTCCAGAACAGTGCTTCCGACTGGGCGAGAGTTAAAATCCTTCCCTTCCCTCCTTCCCTGCCCTCCTCTTCCCCTGCCCCTTGAGAGACCTTCTTCTCCTGCTTTCATTCTGCTGCCTTCCTCCCGGGCACACACTTGGAAGGAGACAGGGGTGGGTGAGGAGGGGTTCAGGCAGCTCTGGCCCTGACACCAGCATCTCTGCTTTTCTGGGCTCTTCGAGGGCTGGGGTGCATGGCTTATTCAGCTGAGGAGCAGTGGAAGCTGGTTTTCCTCTCTACTCAGGAACCTGCTCCTTCCCCAGCAGCACCCTCCACCCGCTATGCACCTGCCAACAAACACGAGCATAAACACAAACACAGACCCCCAAGTGTTCCTGCCCTTTCCGGGCTGTGAGGGGGTGAAGCCTGGCCCCCCAGATAGGTGGGCAGCATCCTTCCTCTCCTCACTGGGGCTGTGCAGGGAACGCTGGGTAGGTTCCATCCTTGCTTGGAGGTCCCTACACTGTCCTTCACTGTGTGGCCTCTTCCCTCAGATTGCCGAAGGAATGGCGTATATTGAGCAAATGAATTCAATCCACCGCGACCTGAGGGCAGCCAACATCTTGGTGTCTGAGACCTTGTGCTGTAAGATTGCTGATTTCGGCTTGGCCCGCATCATTGACAGTGAATACACCGCCCAAGAAGGTGAGCGGAGACCTTGGGCCTTACCTTCTCCAACTCCTCAAACCCCCTTGGACTTCTCCTTGCTGGTCCAGAGCAGAGCCCTGTGTGAAGAGATCTGAGAGCTTTGTGGTTTTCCCAATTCTGGCCTTACTCCCAGGTAGACCAGCATTTCCCTAAAGGTGCTCTGCAGAGTACTAGTGCCCAATGAGGAATGGCTTTGTGATGGAGTAGGTTTGGAGATGCTGCATAGTCTGTTCAGGCCCCCTTTGGAGATTCCTGGTGCACGCCAACATATTAAAGGCACTGAGAAGTCCTGCAGCAAAGAAACAGTGTACATTTGCTTCACCTGGTCTCTCCCAAACTAATTTGAGCCCAAGGTACTTTTTCTACTTAGCTTCTATTAGCCTCCCACGGAACTAGGGTTTCACAGAACACACTTTGGAAAACACTTTTCTGAAGCATGAGCAGCAAAAGCTTATACCCGAATTAGGATTTCCACAGAGCACTCTGCTTTCCTGTGTTGGTATAACTGAGGTAAAAAAAAATCCTCTTCACGAGAGGATTTGAAATGGCAAATACATGTCTCAAGTAAGCTAGCCAGCAATATTAGCTGAGCATATTAATCAGTTGGTACAGGAGAAGGATCCGTGGGGCTTGTGCCCTGAGGAAAGTTCAGGCTGGCTGGGGAGATCAAGAAAGCAGGGCAAGGAAGGAGGTAATCCAGTGCTGAGCTGTATGCCGTCTACTCTGAATGCTGACCAGGGCTGCAGGCATCCACGGGGCTTCATGGGACAGCGGCATTGGAATTCCCTCCTCACTGTGACCCTAGATGGTCCATGAGTCCTATGTCATCATTTCTATCTTGCAGGTAGGGATTAACTGAGACAGGGACAAGTTAAGGTGACTTGCTCAAGCCATGGATTCCTGTTGTTAAACACGTGAGGTGGAACATGACCCTTCTGTCCCAGGTGGAAACACATGTGGGTTGCCCTGTGAAGCCCACTGAGCCAAGACCCAAACAGGGTGACAGAGGTTGTGTCTTGTTCTGTGGACCCCCAGTGTCTAAACCTGCCTGCTCCCATGCCCTAGTGGGTCTCAGTGGGTCTCTGGGAGCATCTCTGTTGTGTAGAGTGGTCCAAGCCCTGCAAAAGGGGGGAGGGACTGGTGCATAGGGACAGGCAGTCATGGCCTCACAACGCTGCTCTTGGCTTTTCTCACAGGAGCCAAGTTCCCCATCAAGTGGACTGCCCCAGAGGCCATCCATTTTGGGGTGTTCACCATCAAAGCAGACGTGTGGTCATTTGGAATCCTCCTGATGGAAATCGTCACTTATGGGCGTGTACCCTACCCAGGTAGGTGGCTAGATGGGCTCCCTGCCTTCCAGAAATGGCTGTGATGACAGATAGCCCATCCTTGGTGCCTGGGGCTGTCCACATCCATGCCAGAATGGGGTCCCCGCAGTCAGAACAGAGACCCGTGTATGCCACTCTGGGGACAGAGGCTCCGCCCCCTTCCTCAACATTGCTTTTGGCAACAGGGCTGTGCCCCCTTCATTCAGCAGAGGTCAATAAACCCCCAAACCAGGAATTAAGTGGAGGTCAGTGTCTGAACTCAAGTTTACTCCAAACTGGTTTGTTCTCACTTGAGGACAGGTTGTCTCTCCCTTGGCCTTCCACCTGGGGTGTACTCTGGGAAGCCCTATCCTGACTGTGCAGTTTCCCAGCCCCCCGGCCCAGCCCCCGAAGGGCTTGGGCAGCTCAGCAGCCTGCAGCGAGCGGTGTCCCTCCGCTGGCTGGTGCGTCTTCACGGAGCACCTGCCCAGTGAGGGACGGGCTTCAGCTGTGTGCCCATTGCCGATAAGCAAGACAGGGTCCCACACACGGAGGAACTGCCCCACACTAAGGAGACCATCCCCAGCCTCAGGGATGTTTCTCTGGCACAGCCAGGCAGCGCAGTGACCTGCGAGGGAGGAGGCTGCGGTCTGTGCCTCACGGGCCCCGGCCGCCCCTCAGCCGCGCTCTGCGTCCCCTCGGCCTGCAGGAATGAGCAACCCCGAGGTCATCCGCAGCGTGGAGCGTGGCTACCGCATGCCGCGCCCCGACTCGTGCCCGCCCGAGCTGTACCACGGTGTCATTGCTGAGTGCTGGCGGAACCGGCCGGAGGAGCGGCCCACCTTCGAGTTCCTGCAGTCGGTGCTCGAGGACTTCCACACAGCCACCGAGCAGCAGTACGAGCTGCAACCCTAGGCCCTGGTGCAGGGACATGGGTCTGGCACCCTTGGCGCCCGGGGATGGCTCGCACTCGTGGCCCAACCTGTAACGGACCAGGCATGTTCACCTCGCAGCTTTTATTCCAGCCCCAGCCAGCCTGGAAAGGCACGGAGGAATTGATACGCCCATTTCTCAGATGAGGAAAGTAGAGGTAGAGGCGGCCTGAGAGGTCGCTCACACAGCATGGACTCCGGACATCCAATTGCAGCCCCACCCTTCTCTGGCTGTGTGACCTTGGGTGAGTCAGTTGTCCTCTCTGTTCCTCCTCTGTCTCATTGGTACAGTGGGGAAGAACCATAATAGTACCTACCTCGTATGTTCCTCAAGAGGATTATATTAGTTAACCCAGTAAGATGTTCAGAATAGCGCCTGGCACACTGTTAAATGTTTGGCATCCTGTAAGACTCCCCTGTGCTGGCGCCAAAAGCGAGAAGAGAAGTCGGCTACCGGTGGCTGGGAGTCCCGCTGCTCTGACCTGCGCCGTCGCACCCCTTTCTGCTAGCCCAGAAGCCGGACTGGGTCCTCCGAGACCTCCGCCCAGAGAAGCGTCCACCTGCCCTCATCTTGATTGCGCTCCAACACGCTGGGGACTTTTCCGTAATAAAGTCACGAGATGTCGTTACTGGTGACAAGCCTGGACCTCGCTACGTGACACAGGTGGTTTGCATGAGTGGCACAGCAAGGGACTCGCGGATCGGTGGAAGCCGAGACTCCCACCCCGAGGACCATGCCGCAGACCGAACGGTCATTGCCTTTTAAAAGGGGAGGCTTGAGCAGGGCCAGCAGGTGGCGCCCTCACCTCAGAAATCCTTGGGTTCCAGGTCTGAGTCGGGGACTCTGCTCAGCAAAACGCCCAAACTGTCCGTGGGAGCCGTGCTTGTTGGGGGTGCGTGCACAGGGGAACAAGTGCCCTGGGCTCCCAGTCTTGCGACCATGCTCATCAACGATGTGTGGACAATGATGAGATGGTAACGCCAAAAAAACGTTCAGGCCTTTGCACTGTTCAGGAGGCTCGCTATTTGTCACAGGTTTTTTTGTTTGTTTTATTTATAATAGATTTATTATAATAGATTATTATCAAATAGATTTATTATAATAGATTTTTCTGAGCATTTAGGTTTACAAAAAACAAGCGGAAAGTACAAAGAATGTCCATTTACCCCCACCCCCACCCCTCAATTTCCCCTTTTATTAGCATCTTGCAATAGTGTGGTACATTTGTTACAATTGATGAGCCAAACTGACACATTATTGTTAGCTAAAGCATGTAGTTTACCTTAGGCTTCGCTCTTTGTGTTATGTTGTATAGGTTTGGACAAATATATAATGACTTGCCTCCAGCATTACACTATCATACAGAAGAGTTTTGATGCCCTAAAGATCCCTTGTACTTCAATTCATCCCTCCTCCCCTCCCTTTGAACCCCTGGCCATCAACGTGCCATGTTTTGACTCCTTTGATCCTGGTAACCCAAGGAGGCAGGAATATTACAATGCTGTGTACAGAGGAAGAAAGACAGGCACAAAGAGTTTGGGTAGTATTCCTAAGTCACACTGCTCATTAATGGGGGGCTGGGGATGTGGACCCAAGCACAGCTGCTAGACTGTGGAGGCAGAGTAATGGCGGGGAGCTGCTGGGCTGGGAGAAGCTCACAGCGGGGGCTGCCTCTGCAGGGGAACAGGAGTGACTGGGCAAAGAAAAATACATGTCCGTACAGTCCTTGTGATTTCCAGGGCACATTCCCATACTATCTATAGATTCACAGACAGCTCTGGGAAGGCATCACCATTGTTATTATCCCTCTACTCCTTTCCATACAAGAAGTAAATGGCAGAGACTCCACATCACAAAGCTTGTCCAGAGGCTCTCAGCGGGCCAGGGCTGGACCCCAGATTTGAACCCATTCTTTGCCGCCAGCCCCTTGCCATAAACAACTATGTAGGCGAGCAGGACACTCTCACGAGCAGGGGGTGCTGGCCCAGGTCAGGCAGGCTCACCGAGCAAGTCTCAGGTGGAGCCGTGTGTGTGTGTGTGTGTGTGTGTGTGTGTGTGTGTGTGTAGCGGGCAACGTGGTCAGATTGGGGCTTGGACAGATCTCCCCTAGGCAGTCCAGGGTTCAGGCGGTAGAGGGCTCTAGGGACAGGGAACCCTGTCCTCGGGGCAGTGAGGGTCCCCAGAGAATTGCCTCTGCCCTCCCCAGGAACCTAGGGCTCTTCGGGGGAAGTGGCTGCTGAGTCTTTCAGAAAAAAATTTGCAGCTCAGCCTCCCCCACTCTGGAGGAGGTCTAGTGCCTACAACCCATCTCCCCAGAATCTCTGTGGATTGGGGCTGTCAAGCCCAGACCCTGGGATGAGGGGGCATGGCTGGAGGGAACTAAGCTGGAATTCAGGGCACCAGAGAGTGGACAGCCCCTGTAGAGGGGAGGGCACCAGACAGAGACAGATCTGAGCCCATAGGGCCCACAGAGGAGCAGGGCGCTGAGAGGACCTAAGGATGCCTTTGGAGGTAGGACTGGAAGGAGCTCGTGTAAGCAGGATAAGAAATGAGTCCCTCTTTCCCGCTTAACAGCCTGGACCTACGGCCTGGCACCACCTCCCTGCCTCTCATGGCCCCCGTGAACTGGTTTCCAGCCACTTGGGCCCCAGCTGTCCACGAGCTGCAAGGCCTGGGGCTGGCTCGTCACCTCCCTGGACCCCACTGCCTTCCCATAAAGATGAAGGGGGCGGGGGCGTCTCCCAGTGCTTTGTAACTGCACTGTTTCTAAAAATCACTTCAGCTCCTTGTTTTGAAAGACAGGTTTCTTGGGGTGCCTAGGTGGCTCAATTGGTTAAGCGCCCGACTCTTGGTTTCAGCTTAGGTCATGATCTCATGGGTTATTGGATCCAGCCCTGTGTTGGGCTCCATGCTCAGCAGGGAGCCTGCTTGAGATTCTCTCCCCCTGCCCCCCTCCCACGTGCTCTCTCTCTCCCGCTCTCAAATCAATAAATCCTTGAAAAGATAAATAAAAGACAGGTTTCTAGTCTCTCTCTGAGATTCTGATCCAGCAGGTCGAAGGTAGGATCTGGAAACCCCATCTTTCCTATAGTTTCAACCCTGGCTACAGTTCAAATGATGGCGCGTGGACGTTGGGCCATGACAGGGAGGTGGGCACATCTACAAATACCAGTGCCAGGACTCCAGGTGGGGCCCGACCATCGGCACATTTTAGATGTCCCCAGCTGGTACTAGAGTTCAGCCAGGATTGGGAACCACGGGGCTGGGCTGCGTGGGGTCTGGAAGTACCTCTCCCAGGAGGGCAGGTTGCAACGCACCTGGGGTTCCAAGTCTGATGCTCAGGTCCTGCACTTGCAGGACGAGCTCATGTCTGTGGCTTTTCCCAGTTCTCTATGCAAGCTCTAACCTGCAGAAACTAGAAAAGAAGCCCGCAAGCCCAGCACCTTCTCCGACGCACATTGTCAGGCGCACAGAGGTCTCCTGGGGGGTGAGGCTGGAGCCGGACCTTGAGGGCCAGGGAGACTTTTCCCCACTAGGAGGTGCACTTGCCTCAGGGGTGCCAGGAACTGAGCCTGAGTGTCCCCGGGGCGGGGGGGGGGGGGGTCGTTAGGAATGGAGATCCTTTTATAAAGGACAGGAAGCCTTTCAATTCCCAGCCAGAAAGTGGAGTGTGAGAGGATGTGGAGAGAGATACAGCATGACCGAGAACAGAGATAGAGACAGAGAGAGACAAGACAAAGAATCAGAGACACAGAGAGAGCATGAACGGCAAAGGCGACATTTCCTGCTCTGGGAATTTGTCTTCCGAGTGGGAAGGCAGCTCACTCAGGGCTGTGGAGGCCATATTCTCCCGCCAGGAGAGAGGAGGAGGAGATGAGAGGGAGGGCCCAGGCCCTAGACATCTGATCGCTGCCCTCCACCCAGAGCTCTGCTGAGGAGCACACCCGACCTTGAACCCAGACGTCTTCCCACCTGTGATGGAGACCGTGCCTTCCCTTCCCTCTCCCTGCACAGAGCCAAGACACATGTGCAGCGCTGTTGCAAAAAGAACGGCTAGATCTTTGGGGTTACAGAGACCTGGGTTCAAATCCAAGCACTTCCTTTCCCAGGATGTGTGACCTTGGACCCTTGGCTTGATTTCTCTGAGCCTCAGTTTCTTCATCTATAAAATAGACATGAAATAAAAACACCCAAAATAGGGGCGCTTGGGTGGCTCCATGGATTGAGCTTCGGACTCTTGATTTTGGCTCAGGTCGTGATCAGGTTGTGGGATGGAGCCTGGCATTGGACTCCACAAGCTTAGTGCAGAATCTGCTTGAGAGTCTCCTTCCCTCTCCCTCTTTCCCTCCCCGCTCCCAGCTCACATTCTAAATAAATAAATAAATAATCTTTTTTTTTTTTAAGGATTTTACTTATTTATTTGACAGAGAGAGACACAGTGAGAGAGGGAACACAAGCAGCGGGAGTGGGAGAGAGAGAAGCAAACTTCCCACTGAGCAGGAAGTCTGATGTGGGGCTCGATCCCAGGACCCTGGGATCATGACCTGAGCCGAAGGCAGATGCTTAACGACTGAGCCACCCAGGTGCCCCAATAAATAATCTTTTTTAAAAAACACCTAAAATATAGGCTTGTTTTGAGGTTTAGACAAAATAGTACAAGCAAAGCATTTATCCCAGTGCCTGTCTTCTAGTAAACTCGCAGAAATGTTAGCTCTTATTATTATTCGGATAGCTCCCCGAAGAAAGGCCTTTAAAGATGCTGACACACAACCTCCACCACCTTCCTTACCTGGGTGTTTCCCCTGTCCTCTGTGATCTGTCACCAGGCTTGGGCTTCTAATACCACCAGTGTTTTGTTTTCCATTTGTTGCTGTGGTTTTTCTTCATCTACTTTCATACCCCTCCCACCCTCGAGGCAGCACTGCAAAAAGAGCACCCAGAATTTGAAGTCAAGGACTTAGGTATCGCCGGCACTTTCCAGC